TGCGTAGTCCGGCTGAAGGGGTGCCCCCCGGTCTGAGGGCCGTGAGGACGCTCCTTCCCCTCGCCCCCCTCCGCAGCCAGCCGGGCCTCGGGAGGCGGCGGCTGCTCGTGGGCATTTCGGGCTCAAAAATGCCCCCCGGGTTTCTGTGGCCGCGGATTTACCGTTGGGTTTTGTTTGTTTGTTTGCTTTAATTAAGCGCTTTAAATAACTTAAAATCGTTCACTATCTTTAGGCATTCTTCCTCGGTGGATTTTAGTCTCTGCGGGACTGCTACCACCATGCACCCACGACTGGTAGTGTTGCTCACCAGTAAAAACTAACAGTAAAAATATCTAACCAAAAGAAGTTACTGGTTTGGGGGTATTAGTGTGTGGTCGGGTGGTGGTTGGGGTTTTTTTCAGTTACAGAGGAAGCAACACTAACATCGGCTTGCTACTACAAAGGGTAGTTATGTATGAGGGAAGTAAAAAGCAGAAAGACAAACAGCCTTCTTCAGTTCTTAACCATTTCCCCCTCCTTTAAAAGAAACAACGCCTACTCAGTTTTCCAACAGTATTTGTACCATTTTTATTTGTAAAAATAACCATCTGAATGCATTGCAATAATAGTTTACAGTTAGGGGTCTTCATTACATTAATAGAGCATTCAGTAGTTGAAAAAGTTACTTAAATGTGCTTGAGAAGATTCAGGTTGAATTCCAAGTCATTCCTCGTTTCAAATGTGACATTTACCCAAGTCCTTACACTTCAATTTACAAAAGCAAACAATACAGACAAAACCCCACTGAAACCATCAAACAATATTTTATATTGTTTATTACAAATGTTATGCAAAATATAACACTGGCACCAGATTGTTTCACCATGGTTTGTAAAGATATATTGCACATGCTAAAGCATAAAATATAAGACAAAACCTACAAAACATAAGATATTGGCTTTAATATGTAGATCACTGCATAAGAAACGCATAAAATTACATTTTTTACACACACTCAGATTGTCACTAGTTTAAAACGCCCTTTCCTATAACACTGACCTAAGGTTTACTTTTTGTGTAATAAGAAAGCATTTTCAGCACTGCAAAAATTATACATTATTCCTATAGAAATTTAGCATATTAATTTTCATTTCAATGCAGGTAGAACATACGAAAAGAAACACTTTATACATTCAAAGAAGGTCTGAAATGAAAATTTACTGGTAATATATTGCTTTTATAACACTCAAAAAAAAGAAGAGACAAGTTTCACAAAACATTTCCATATTACACAAATATAAAAAGGCACTCTAATATTTCTTACATGACTAAGAATAAAAATCACAATTTTTTCTTTTAAAATCATCCTCAAGATACATAACCAAATTTCTCAACAGTACAATGGATAAACAATTCATTTCATGTGTTTGTTCTAACTCGATAATCTGGCAGTTGTTTACTGCATAAAAGTACCAAACACATTATGGTGCCCTTTTAGTAGCGATGAACAGAAATCCCCTGAGCTATTTCACAGCAATTTCAGGCAGTCCAGAGGTTGTAACTCAGTATTTATGAGAGAGACTTGGGACCCCATCCTGCTATGGATTCCACCTGCTGCTGCAGTTAAAACACAGGATGAAACGATCCTGCTAATACACCTGGGCAGATGACTGACCCTCCCCAAATACCCTTTATTTGGTGCAGACACAGAAGTTGTCCACCTACTGTAAATTGCAGGATCCTGGGTTAAGTGCAACAATGACATACGATTACTCTAGTAAAAAGTCCACAGAAAGGCAAGGTGATTATTTACAAGAGTAAAATTATACCCATGCTTAAATACCTGCCCTAAATTACAAATGTATTTCTACATGTGATAAATTATATTACAGATTAATGTACCAGCATACCAAAAAAGGGATTCTGGTAACTCACATGAGATGTGGGAGAGGCCAATACTGAGTACTTCCAAATGTCTTGCTCATGACAGTTTTCCTCCTAAATACAGCATGCTCAAAACATGACTTTCACAATGCCTTTAAAGATGCTAACAAATCATCTCTTTCTATGATTTTGGGAATATTGCATACTTAGATCATTGTTAGTTTTAGAAAAGTTTAGATTTGGTTCCTAGAAGGATCAAAGTAATTCAGTAATCACCTATGCTTCTATAATGTTGTATAATCATTAAGAGGCAGCACTTGTTGCACTACACAGCTACCAGGTATTGCAAATATAACGAAATAGTTTCAGCAGCTCTGTATAGTAGCAAGTAAAAATACTGATTCTTATTGTAATGGCTGCTTAAAATAAATTATCATCCTTTTTGTAAAAAGGAATGTTTTTCTCCTAATGAAGCAACGTCATGCAGGAGAGCGTAACTTGGTGTATTTCAGGGTGACTGTTACCTAATCCTGCCAAGCAGCCTACCTACATCTCTGGTTACTATAAGACTAAAAGGCTGATCCTGCTCATAGATGGGTGGCAGCCATTTCCCATTTGTTTATTTCTTTTCAGTGCCATCATTCCACATTAAAAAAGCAAAATTTAGGATGAAGACACCACTGAAAACTTCAACAATTGATCTCTCCTCTTATTTTCAGTGCGTAGAGTAAGGTGGTTATTGCTATTCTGCAACTTTCAAAAGGAAAAATGTTGAGAAAAATCCATCATAAAAATGCTATTCTGTGCTATCTCTGAGGAGAAAACCAGGGTTTCAGGTGCTCCATCATTGTGCTGCAGAAAAGAGACAGTTGAGGGAAAAGAAATGTTCACCTTTAGAGACACTATCCCTTGTGATTTTTTGTGGTAAACTTAGAAATTTGTTAATGTTCAAGGAAACCATTCATTTTAGCAAGGCAAAATAAATCTTTTTCCTAATTAAAGAACTGGAATCTGCCACTAGATTTTTAACAATTCAATGGAACATGGCTAAAAGCTGCAACTAAAATAAAAATTCCTTACTTTTAATTTACCCTGCCAAAAACATGCACTGAGGACACTCATCTCATCCTCCCAGCACAGAGGTAGCTCCGCAGAGAGCCTGGGTGTGAAGCCACACCTTGACTCCATGCTACGCTACTCTTTCTCTTTCCCCTCTCCTATTGCTGTACAGTGCTCTCTCAGTTGCCTTGATTTTAAATGAGGGAAGGTGCTTTGCTTTCTGCTTTTTACCAACATAGCCTGTGGACTTAATCTTTATGTTCCATATAAGACGGGCACTCTCCCAAAGTGCATCAGCCCTTCCTTTTTCTACTCAGGCTATGAGTCTTGCCTAGATTCACATTTCATTTCACATCATGCCAAATAGTATGCACAAATGCTAACTAGGAGAACAAGCCATAGGTATTTTTCCTGGGCATTTGTTTCATTGCAAATAAATATAAACACATTTACATTAAAAGTAGATGAACATATTCTTTAGTCTGGGAAAAAACCCAACTGGAACTGTGGTCAACACATCATCAGTTACAAATGTCAGCTTGAAACCTGCGCCATAAAATGTAAAATTCACTCAAGACTACTCATTACCTCAAAAGTTTATATTTTTATGGTTTAGAAAAAACTAGTTCATTATGTCACTCACATTTGAAGAAAAAATAAAAGTAGGAAAGTCTTCCATTTAATTACTGAAGCATTTTGGTCCTCTTGGTACAGCTGATTAGTTCATGATAGCTTTTTGTTTAGTTTGGTTTTGTTTACAAAGTCTTATTCTTCCTTTTGTACATCTGTTGCAGGTGAGGGTCGTGGTCCATTTGACCTAGAAACTTTGGCAGAAGGAGTAAACATATTCACAAAGTTGACATTGCTTTAAAAGCTGGTGACAATAGGCTTTTTTAGCATGTATCTCCAATCCCTGCACGGTACACTGCCATGTTTTCTGGTGTTTGGTAGTTCAACTTTTGGTGTTATGCTTTCATTGCTTTATCTTTGCTCTCTTAATCCAAACACTGTTAAAAGTATTTTAAAATTTGATACTGTTTACAGTAAAAATAAGTTATTTAAGTATAAAAAAGGAAAAAAAACATTTAAATTGGCAAGTCGTTATGAACTCTTACATACACCTTTGCTTATACCTAATTCCTCACATCCCCAACCCCCCTTATTTTGTCTGGTATTAGATTCATGGTTAATGGCTCAGGTGACAGAAACATCTAATGACCCTAATTTTGTAGTGCAAATAAACTGTGTTTGTGCTGAATTGAAAAAATATAAGGGCCAAGTGATTTTCATTCTATACCAGTGGTTCCACTAATGTCTGTGGGGAAATACGGTGAGACAAGTAGAATTTGGCCTTAAGAGTTAATAACTATATTTTTCTCATTGTGTGCTGCAACTAAGAACTGTGAAAAGTGCCTCTGTACGTTAAGTGCTTAATACATGTAGAATGTAAAAGGTTTCATTTCCTGTAGAAAAGTAATACAGGCAGTTTTAAGATTTACAACTTTACCTTTGGTTTATATATAAAAAAAATTAATAAATCTAATTAACAGAGCCCCTGGAAGCAGGAAACAGACACATGTAGGAAAGGGGTGATGCTCCAGCCTATGAAAGCTATACTGGAAGCAAGTCTGTGTACTAAAGGTACAGCTAAAACATGTAAGAGCTTTTTACAAACAGTTCCCTGTTTATTTGTGCTGTCGAAAAGAAAAAAGGCATTTTCTCTTTTTTCTACTTAAAATAAGAGGTAGAGGTTTTCCACAGGGGCACTTAGGGCCTAAAGGAAACACCAGGAAGCTGAAAAGCTGCAGAACATTAATGGGAATATGTTCCAGTAAACCCCTCTAACTTAGTTATTTAAAGGCTTGATTCTCAGGAACACTACAAATCTTTCAACACCTACTTGTCAAGAGTAATAGTTAAGAATATGGCCATGGGACTTAAGCTGTTTAAGAAGACAAAAATAAAGCTGAAATGAACCAATAATGAAAAAAAGTTTCTGAATACCAAAAAGTCAAAATGTTTCAGAATCCGAATCATTTTCATTGTACCCATCCTCTGTTTCTATGTTATTACTTAAGGGCTTATTGTAAGAGTTTATGCTACCCATACTGGAGCCATCGCAGAGGTGTGTCCTGCCCAAATTGTCTTTTTTAAAACAAACGAAGTTGAAAGCCGTCATTGAACTGGAAGGAGAAAAAGGCATCATGGTAGCCAAAATGAGTGCCAGGCAGTCAGCCACGTCTTTGTTAGGAGCGCAAGCCAGGGCTGGCGTATGACCTGGGCACAAATGCAGACAAGGCAATGGTTAGTACGAAGGGTACTGAGAATGGCACTGAGCATTCCTCATATACATCTCTAGGTGACGTTGTAAGCAGGAGATGTATGTTCAGTTACAATCATGCCAGGCAACGGGGGGATATGTTACTTACTTTAAATTAGACATGCTGGGAGAATACACACTTCATGGAGCATTCAAATTGTGACCACAACAAGCACTGTGTTTTTAAAATCAGGCAGCAAACAGACTTCACAATATGAATAAAAGCACTTGCTAAACACAGTTCTACAGCACAGACAGTATGATGAATACAGAACACAGGGAGTACAGCAACAGGGACAGAAACTGGCTTCAGTTTCTGCGTGTATGAACAAGTCTCATTCTGAGAACAATGACTTTCATCAGAACATGAAAGATATTAGTTTAAAAATATTTTGAAGTAATAAGCAATTGATTTTAAAGACTGATCAGTCTTTAAAAGTTGAGTATCAGTTGAGTACTCGACTCAGAAAGCAGTTTATTTAAGAATTAGAAAAGAATTACTACTAGTACCCATGGTATGTGTATAGCAGGTATGGCTATGTGGATGTTACCCAAATTTACATTACATTAGGAGAATAACAACTGTATTCAGAAAGCATGGTACACAATCTAAATACAAATTAACAGTATACAGATGGCAGTAAAATTAAGAACTGGGGAGCCATTCAAAGTTTGTCTTACTGCTGTTTAACTTGGCTCCTGCCCAAGTGCTGCCCCTAAAGCAGCTCTTCATATATATAAACCTTGGAAACCAGTATACTGATTACACTTCCTATCTATGCATTTTGCAGGCTGCTGTGTAGTACTCCAGCACTTGCCAACAAAACCTCCTAAGAGCAAACAAATTCTTTTCCAGATGGCTAAATCTTAGGTGCTGCAGCAACAGTAATTTGAGGCAGTGACCACTACTGATATTCTACTGCCTCACATAAGCCAAGAACGCCTGCAATGTACGTTTGTCCACCAAACTCGCCTACATTGTGTACAGTTTCATAGCACACTACCCACATTTCAGCACTGACTGCAGTGAATGCATATCCTAAATGGACTTTCCTCTTCCACTGAGTTCCAAGTGTGAATATTCTGTAGAGTTGTACTTACACTAAGACTGTACATAAATTTCTCTCTTTTAAACCACATATGCAGTTGTTCCTAGAAAAACTTATGTATAAATTTTAAACTTAAATTTCATTCATTACATATGTGCAAATTAGCTGTATCTGTATGCACAATTTTAATAATAAAAACTCTGGTTAGAAGCTAATGTGGTTCATTTTTCTGTCCCCTGCCTCTAAAATGAGGTTAGGGTGAGATGACTTTGGTGGAACTCATTCATGCAAGTCTATCTAGGTAGCATTTGGTTAACAGTAAACGCTCACCTCTCAGTTCTTTTTATCCATAGATCTCAAATTTCTTGCAATGATGGGTGAGTATTATTATTGTTATTTTATACATACGGGAAGATGGAGGTACCGAATTGTTACATTAATGTCAGGTATTGTAAGAAAGACTAGCTTATTTCAGGAAGACATTTTTGAAAACATTAATTTAGAAGCACAGCCCTCTGTGGGCTTTATAGTGTTTAGGGAGGACTTCATTGAGATCTGAAACAAAATTATCAGCTTTATTAGCCAATCATGTATTTTATGAGGCAATAGTAATTTACTTGCATCTTGGATTAGGTCAGACAATTGGTAAGCACAAGCTTTGATCTCAGAATGAACTAGGACACAATCAAACATATGTTGATGGTTTTCTTCCTACCCATTTACACATGCGCTGATTGAATGCATAATCCTTAATTCTTCTGCAAGGCGTCAGAATTATCCGGTGCCACTTGCATGTTTAGGAAATTCAAGTTACCACTGCACTCAAGCATTAAAAAAGACTAGCTGTTGGCAGTACATGCAAAATGAACAGTAAAAGGGACCACTGTGATGTTTAGAATACATTTTCATATTAAAGAAAAAGAAATAGTATCTTTTATTTTATTTTATTTTTTTTAATAGGTACTCACACAGCTCATTGTCTGTTCTTGGAGGGATAAAAGCATCAGTGATCTCTATCATCAGCTTTTAAGTCTATTGCTTCGATCTGTTGTAAAATTACCTGTTGGGTCTACTGAAGATTGTCAAAGTGTATTATTTACTTACCATTTTCATCTACTGCTAGGACACATGCCCCTTTGGCTAGCAACTTTTCCACCACCATCTTTAAGCCGTTTCTTGCAGCAATATGGAGAGGTCTACAATAAACATAACGACTAAATTCACCTTCAATTTAAAATAGACTTTCTAAGAAAAATTAGGTAGCACTTAAAGCATACCCAGCATCTGAAAGACAATGTTTTCCTTTTTTGGATCATTACAATCCTATTGCAGAGATTAAATTATATTACAGCCTTTAAAATAATCATCATATTCTAGATCTGTAAACCATACATGCAAGACAAATATAATTACCTTTACATACACAAAGATTGCTTAATACTTTTCCAGTCTAAAGGCTTTCTTTAAAAAGCTTTAATTTTCCCACTGTTTGCAGAACACAATTGATATTTTAAAGGAAAATGAATGTGAGACTGAAGAAATGCCTTTGTTCCATCCTTAATTCTGGCTACGAGACTGTTCAAAATCATCGTATTGCCTTTATATCCTTGAATTGCAGATCTCTGTTACCACAGAGCCACTGGAAATTAAAAGTAACCACTGGTTTGCTCCTTTCGTGGGCTGACACCCAGTGCTCCTGTTTGGGGGCAGCTAATGGGAGAGGAAAACCAATTTCATATTGGAAGGGGGAAAAAAGGGCTAATATGGAATGAATTCTCCTGCAAGCACTAGATGATCTGCCACCTAAACTCATGGTTGAATCTTCTATGGTGGGATTCCCTGACATTAGTAAAATAGTGGCAGCTGGAGTAAGAATATTGATGGTTTTAACTCTGATGAAAATATATGGTATGGATGGGAGTTGTACATAAATATCACCTAAAAACCTCTGAAAATTAAATTAATTGTTCAGATTTAAGGTGAAGCTCAAAAAGTTAGGAAATGCCAGATATATACTTACATATTCACACAACTGATAGACATTTTGATACAGTCTTCAAATAAATGACCTCATATAATTTTTCCACCAGACTATAAATAGAAGTGGCATCAAAGGAATCAAAAGTGAAAATACAATATAAATCTGGTCTTTTCAAGGGCAGTCACTCAAAAAAACCCATCAGAAACTAACTTCTTTTGTTCAATTTAAAAATCTGAGACATTAATTTGAAATGCTAAATTGGAATCTTGTTTTAAGTCAACAGAACCTGAGAGGATCAGGCTGTACTTACGTCTGCAATGCATTATTTTTTGCATTAATAAGGCTCTGTTCTTGTATCTTGTCAAGTATTAACAAGGCACATTTTTCATGACCCTGTAGTTGGGGGGGTAAAAATAGTGTTAATTTGCTGAAGAATTTGTAATTGAGGCAAAAGAAATGTTACATATAAAAGTGAAATTTAATAACTCAATCTGAAATACAAAACATGTTACTCAATTTGTAAGGATGTGTAGTAGGTGAACTGGAGGAGGCCTGCCTAAGCTACCTTTTACAAAGTGCCACTGCATGGATGCTTTAACACATTTAGAAATCTAGACATTCACCTGTCTTTCAACCGTTCACTCACTATATATGAATTTACCTCCTCAGCTTTCAGAGAAGACTGCTATTTCTCTTGAGAGCCATTCAATGGATTATTTATTATAGCTACAGTAGAACTATAGTAAAATAGAGATGGCTTAATCTCAGAAATGAATACTGTACTTTTGGGGTCTTTAAATGCCTTTCTGTATTATTGATAAGCTGCTACAAAATCCCTTCAGTGTGAGAGCTCTAACAATGAAACTGTGAAAATAATACAAATCCAGGCTTCTTTCTGATGCTGTTTCAGCACAGCAAATCACAGATGCTGAGCCTGCAGCCCTGGCTGTCTGAAGGACCTTGAGAATTCAGTGAGGCTTATGTATCTGCAGAAACTGGAGTAATACTATCACACTGGAGCTGAATTTGTGGCTCAGAGCAAAAGAAAAGGCTCAGAAGAGGGAATTCCTTGGGCATTTTTTTCTTGTAAAAACAGCAGTAGCAATTGGAAGTAAGAGGAAGAAAGGGTGGGAAGAGACACCACCGCCAATCTAACCAGTGCCTCTGGTTTTACTGCTACTCTTTTAAAGAGAAAATTTTGGGTTTCTTCCACAGAACTTGGAGAATTACTTGTAGTAAGATTATTTGGTAAAATCTGAGAGGGTTTTCCATTACTTCTCTTAGTGTCATGTCCTTATGTTTCAGCTGTCATAAGAGGCACCCAGGTTTCTCAATTTACAAAACTTTCATACAGACTTGAGAAAAAGCTTGGAACAACGTTCCCTTCCTCACCACAAGTTTGACCACCGCATTTCCAACGCAGAAAAAATTTTAGGAGGATAAACACACACATACAGACAGACAGACTGTGACAAGAATAGAAGCATACAGAGATCTTCAACTTACTTTACTGCTAGCCAAGTGCAAAGGCGTATTCAACTCCTTATCTTTTAATGTCAAGTCAGCCTTGGCAATGTTCACCAGAAAGTCTGAGGTATAGAATAGAAATCAGTGAACAAACCCAGTGGGCAGACAAACATGTAAAAATAGAGGGGAAAAAATTACTATTTCAATATATGTGTGCATGCATGCTTATCAGTTAAGCCTTCATGTGGTGTAAGCTTTATGAACATGAAGTGGCAATAATGAATGAGAACAGACTGATCTTGTGCAGTTAATCAGCAAGCGAGGGCAGAGCTAATAGTTCATTCATTGTGCCCCAAACTGTCAAACATATCTTAATTTACTTATGAACTTCCCCATTTGCAGATCAGCAAGTTCTGCCTGAATCATCTTCTCCTGACAACAACTGTGGATCCTGCTTTGAGAGGAATAAGTGGATATAAAGAATTCAGCAGTCTGTGCTGCTGAAGCTAGAGAAAAGGGAGTTCTGTTAAGCAAATATGACCCTAATCTGTACACCTATAGTATATAGTCTAGCCTGGAAAAAGCAGCTGCTGATAGCTGCCTTTTCAAGCATAGGACTTCCCATAATAGAGCAGAGGAAAAGGTTACATGATCTTTTCCACACATGCAGCTTTACTGCTCCCTAAAATCAAGGGAGTAAACAAAGGAATAGGATTACTACTCCCCTCATGCTCCTTGCAGTGTGCTTTTAGGAGGAAGTAAGGCACAAGTTTGATCCTGCAAATGTTCACCAAAACTGCTAAGAAACAATGGTTGGGAAGAAAAGGAAATTTTTTACAGATGTAGAAGTAGCTTCTTAGAGACATCACATAATTTACTTTCCTTCCATAGTTTCCACGGGAAAGAAATGGTTACTTATTTGGGATAGTGACTGTGGTAGCATTCACCCTTCGAAACACAGAGAGGATGTACCTACCTACAGCACCCGTGTGGCCGTTCTGAGCTGCCATCATGAGCGGTGTTTTCCCTGCGTGATCCGCAGCATTCACTTGTGCGCTGTGACTCAGGAGGAGCTGGAGGCACTCCACGTGATTTGCAAAGGCTGCTGCGTGAAGGGGCGTCCTGTGGGGAAAGTAACAGGACCACAGCTGTTGCTAAAGAATGGCAATGTTCCTGTCTGTTTACCTGCCCAAGAACATGGAAGCGCAAGACATTTTTAACTTAATTTTCCCTGCAAAACTTAACGTTATCACCAGGGGAAAGCTACAGTAGCAGCATCTGAAATAAGTTAAATGATATTTACAGTCTCTGTCCTGGTGCAATATTGACTTTCAAAAAATGAAAGCAGAAGGTGGATATGATAGTGTGGAGAATCTCGTACTAGCAGTGTATTTATTTAACAGAGCACACTGAGTAACATGAAAAGCAGTGTAATCCCTCGTTCATATTCATCTGATTTTACTTTTTTAACAAGCCTAAGATGGGAAGAACTATTAGAAAAGAACAGATCCATTACTAAAAAAAAATTAAATTATTTTAAGTTACAGCCAAAGATACTGCACAACAGCATTACTATAAAAGGCAGAAGGGATTCAATCCATTTTGAAGGTTATCACTTTTCACAAAACTGAGACACTAGAATTTGTTCACTGTCTCCCTGTGGCATTTTGAGTCTGAAGCGTGACTAACAGAGATGAAAGATAGTTGGTACATGGCCCAGCTCACAGTGTTATTTCAGGTTTTGCTTCTCAAAAAAGGTCTTAGCCTTACAGGAATAAGTAATCACCATTACTGAAGGTCTTGAATGTGTTTTAATTAAACAATGAGTATTCCATTTTTAGAATTTCAGCAATTTTAATTGAAGATATATATATACACACACACACACACAGAGTGAGGACATCATTAATGTGACAAATAGAGGATTTGGCTGAATGCATATGTATTGCTCTATCAGCATTGTTTTGCTGCACAGATGTTTTCAGTTGTGCACCCTTGCGAATGCCAACGTAACATTTAAGCTTTTCATGAAATACTTTTCTATGTATACACAGTATCACTCCTTTTAGCAAAGATAAACATGTTTAAACATTTAACAAAGTAAACAGCTTCA